TGGCGTTTCTTCACCCTCCAGGAGCGACGCTTTGGGAAATGCTTTTGCTTTCCAGCTCCTACCAGCCCAAGAAGTACCGCAGACTCAGTGTTTCTCCTGGCAAGCGCTGGAAACAAATCTGTTTTGACAGCCCTTTAAAAGCAAACACTTCCGACGCTAAGCATTTAAAGAAGGCTAACTGCAAGGAGGTCAAACTGAAGCCCGTCATCCCGAGATTGCTTGCGAAGGTGGCAGTGTGAGCAGCTGCCCAGCTGTGGGTCCGCTGAGTGGCCCCACAGCAGGGAGTGGGATATGAGCATCCAGTCTTCTTCCTCCCCTCCCAGCTCCTCTTCCTCCGCTTGAGGGGAGAGCAGCTCTCGTGTGCTGGGAGTGAGTGTGGCAGATCCAGGGGGCCATCCTTCAAATGTAGGTGGGATAAGGAGGAATTAAGAGTCGCCAGAGGAGCTGACCGACCCAACCGTCTTGGCTGGTCGGTGTGATGGGGACGCACCGGTGTAGTCAGTGCTCCCCGCGCGGGGTGCTGCACCTACCTGGAGAGCTGCACCAGCTCCCCGTGTTGCCACAGCAGGGCCTGTATGTGACAGGGGGAGGCTAGTGGCATCCTGACAGCTCCTTTTGGGGGGATTTCTCTGGGACTGAAGCAGCAGGTGAGTTTGAGGGGTGAACTTCTCAAAGGTGGAGGAACGCCTTGTGGTCTCATTCCAACAGTGAAACATCAACCTCCCTCCAAACTGCTCCGTGGATGTTTCCTAATTTCTCTGGAGCTTGCAGAATCTGGAAATTTGCAGGATTCCAGATTTGCCTAATTTAGATGCCTGCAGTAATCCCTGCTGAAGCCCTGACACTCAGTGACCCAGGGCTGAGCCCTCTCCTGCGGGCAGCAGGGCCCCGTTCCTCATTCGTGAACGTTTCCCTCATCACCTGCAGCTCCCAGGTGGATCCAATGTTTTCCCCTTCCTCCCTGTGGTGCTTTCACCCTTAGGGTACACAAGTGTGCCTGGCTTTGCTTACTAACACCTAGCAGGAGAAGTTTGCAGGAGAAGCAGGAGAAGTTTGCAGGAGAAGCAGGAGAAGTTTGGCTCTGCCTTCACACTTTGCTTCTTGGCTTGTCCGTGGTGCAACCAACACCATGGTCACAGGCTGGACAAGCCTTTCAAATGTCAGGTCTCTGCTTTGCTGTTCGGGGCTGCGCAGCGCCCAGCGGTTTGTAATGGGAAGGGGGGAGGCAAACTGCTAATTATGCTCCCCAAGCAATCACACTGTCCCCTGGAGAGCTAATCCTCACATGCCAATCACAGGAGCAACCTTTTGGCCTGAACCAGGCCTTCCCATGCCTCTTAGACCTTTGAATCCTCCCTGAGATTGTGCAGGTTTGAAACTGTATTGGAAAAATGCTGTTGGCAAAACACAGCAGAGGGACTGAGGGCTGCAAATAGCTCCTTAGAGCGACTGCCTCAAGCCCTGGGACTGTGTCTCCCTGTGGCCTGTGCCAACCTCTCATTCCAGATTCCACCTGAACTCACCCAGCGTCGATTCTCCTCGCAGCCCGAGGCAGGTAGAAAGCCTGCAGTCATCAGATAACGTGCTTGAGGTTTTTTGCTAATGACCAGTTAAAAAGCTAATAATGTCCTGACAAACGCAAAGTGCTATTTTTAGGACCTGCCTTTTGATTTGCTTTGCTGACTCTGAGTGTTAAAGAGCTTTTGTGAACATTTGACTTCGGTGGAGAGCATAAGGTGGTTGCTACCTTAAACTGAGTCAAGGTATAAAATCATTACAGTTTGCCACTGCTTTTCTTCTGTTTCAATCCTGCAATGCAAGAATTCAGGATCTTCTTCCTTGTGCTGTTCACGTCTTGAAGCTCTTTGTAAAGGTAACACTTGAAATTGCTGGTGGATGTGCCCCTTCCCAAAGTAAATGGGGAGAAGTGTTGTGTATCACCTTTGGGTCCGACCTGTGGCTGCTGCCCAGGGATGTCACCCGTAATACAAGTAATAAATATCTATGCACGGGAGGAGAGATATGCTCGAGTGTCCTCTTAGCTTAAAAGTATTTGTGATGGGCAGAGCTGCAGAAGCACTGCCAGATGCCCAGACTGTCCAGTCCCTGCTGCAGCGTGGTAGCCTGATCCGGAGGCTGAGCGGCGCTAAAGGCGGCCGCATCGGGCTCCCTCTGTTGTCAGGCACTGAAAACGGCACGGGAAGCACGCTGGAGCGAGATGAACCTGCTGGCCCGTGTCTTGCAGGATCGTGATTTCTTTCACCCAAAGGCACAGAGCAAACAGGGAGATTGTAGTTCAGGTGCTGCCGCAACCTCGCTGCACCTGGTCCTTGCCTAAAAGCACCCCGGTGGGCTATAAACAGTGCCGGTCTTATGTGACCTGGCAGTCGAGGACAAGAGCAGGACGGAGACGACGCAGGTTTAATGATTGATAGCGATGCAATGGGGATGCTGCTGGGCGCTGCCAGCTGCTGCGGCCCAGGGTTGGTTCAGTCCCTTGTTTCCCTGCACCGGTTTCTGACACTTGTCCCTTTTCTCCCCTCCCGGTGCTGTCCCTGCAGTCATCCTGACAGACGAGGAGGTGCAGAGGAAGCGTGAGATGATAATGAAGCGCAAGGAGGAGGAAGCGCTCAAGGAGAGCCTGAAGCCCAAACTCTCAGAGGAGCAGCAGAAAGTCATTGACGTCCTCCTCGAGGCCCATCGCAAAACCTACGACCCCACGTACTCTGACTTCACCAAGTTTCGGGTACGGCCGGGGCATATCAGCCCCGATTCCCACGCCAGGATCCCAGCGGTGGCCCCCTTGTCCCCGGTCCCAGCTGCCTGCTAGAAAATTCAGCCCACAAGAATTGTACCAGCGGGCTCTCTGCTTAGGTGCAATCTCTCCTTTTGAACAGAAGCAGCAGATTTTATTAGCCTATTTCAGTAGGGATTTGAAAATCTTTGTTTCAGTTTGGCACACACTGAATACTTGGTTTGAAAAGGGGGAGCCGGGCCCCCAGGCAACACGGGCCCCGCTAACCCCTGCCGAAAGGCAGCCAGCAGAGAGCCTGGCTGCTGGCTACAGTGCCAGGTAAAACAAGGAGAAGCCCTTCCCTTGCCCTGCTCCCCTCCCAAATCCAAGCAGTTCCTCTCCCAGATGCACCTTCCCTGTTTCATCCCCTACATTTCTCACTGGATTTAATCACAGCACTAGGAGTGGCGTTAAAAGTCCCAGCGCCGATATCTTGATGCTGTTGGCAGCGGGTGAACAACTGTTACCAAATTGCTCTCCCGGCCCTGTTCCTCACATCCTGCTCTCTCTTCCAGCCGCCCGTTAGAAGCAACCCTAGCAGCAGGGTGGCAGCGAGGTCCTCCTCCATCCTCACCCAGGACTTGTCCTCAGAGGACTCCACCGACCTCTTTGGCTCTGATGCCTTCAACACGTTTCCAGGTACCACGCTCGCCTCTTAGTGGGTGACGGTTGGTGCCCACGTGCTGCCTAGAAGCGCAGCAGGTTTATCTAAATTGAGCTATTTAGACTCTTGTTTTTCCTCTTCTGGAGAATTTATTTCACTGTAATAGCTGCCTGGGGGATGTTGAGAGGGCTGTTTGCATGCTAAAAGCACGTCAAGTGCTGTCCCCGTGGACCTCTGTGTGTCTGGGCTCCTCAGGAGGGCTGAGGGGAGTGTGAAGGTGAACGCCAGGTTGCATTGGCGCTGCTCCAGCTGCAGTTGCTGCCTGGGATGCTGGAGGAACGTGGTTTATAGGGGTTACGGGATGGAGCTGCTGTTACCCAGCCCCATGGAGCCCCTTTCCTAGCAGGAAGGAGTGCACCCAAATGCACCTCACCTGCTCTATCTCAGAAGCAGCTGTGGGGTTCATGCCACATGAACACAATGCAAAGATCCTTCCCAGCAGGATGGACACTGGGAGCCCCCCATCTCACGCCGTTTGTGCTTCAGGCTGGCGTCTCTGCCCTCACCCGCGATGGCCTCCCCGTGGCTGAGGCACCCTCTGACGTGATCATCTCCCTCTCTACAGAGTCCATGGAGCCCCAGATGTTCTCAAACCTGGTCCTCTCTGAGGAGAATGATGAGAGTGCCTCCATGAACATCGACTTCTCCCACCTCTCCATGCTTCCACATTTAGCAGACCTGGTCAGCTACAGCATACAGAAGGTGATCGGCTTTGCCAAAATGATCCCAGGATTCAGGTGAGACGTTTGCTCTCGGACCCAGAGTCTGTGGTGGATATCTGCTCTCAGGAATTGATGTGTTTCTGTCCCACCCCTCACAGCCAGTTCATTTTTCTCCGTTTCATCTTCACAGCTGTCCACTGGGCTCTGTTCCCTTCATAGCTCCATTGCTACTTTCATGTTTTCTCTCTCCCCTCCCTTCTGAGGTTGCTCTTGTTCTGTCTGACTTTAGCCTTGCTCTGCTGGACTCTGTCAGCAAAATGCTCCTAAGAAGATGCCCAGGGCCATGCAAGCTGTCCCTGTACCGGTTTGTGAGGAGTCACGGATCCTGTTTAATTCCAGCGCAGCGAGAGCGAGGCTGGTGATGCCACCTAATAAATGTGGCTGCAGAACCACCTGCTGCTTAATTATGTTAGAAACTCAGAGCAAGGGAGAAGCTGGGATGCCCCCAGGAGGCAGCCAGCAAAGGGATCGGGTTTCGGAGAGAGAGCCTGACGTGTGAACGTCGTGGACCTCTCCCTTGTGCGTCAGATAAGTCTCACGCCACCCTCTTTCCCCCTGCCTAGGGATCTGACAGCAGAGGACCAGATCGCGCTGCTGAAATCCAGCGCCATTGAGGTGATCATGCTGCGTTCAAACCAATCCTTCACCCTAGAGGACATGACGTGGACCTGCGGCAGCAACGACTTTAAGTACAGGATCAGTGATGTCACCCAAGGTAAAGGTCCCGGGTTTGCTGACCGGCTCAGAGCAGCCCATGCTGCTGTTTGCTCTCTTGTTGGCCATAGGCCAAGAAACATCATCCTGGCCTTAAATTCAGATGCAAAAATCCAACAGTGAGTAGTCTGTAAAAAGAGATGCCTTGGCAGGCTGCAAGGCTGGGGGACAGCCAGCAGTAGCTCAGCAGTGTCACGGCCAGGCCGAGCCCCCTTCCTGATGTCAGCTGGGCTCTGTTTATCCTCCGAGCCCTGCGCTGTGGGACGCACGTGCATCTTGCAGCCGGACCGGATGGCTGGAAAGAGCCGTCAGCTCCTGAAGGAAAACAAAGCTAGGCGTATGGCAGTAACTCAAAGCTGTCTCCAGCCTCGCTGCCCTGCACCGGAAAGGCTGGAAACCTGCTCTGCCTCCACCCTCGTCTCATCTGTGGGAGGTCTGAGATCTTGTCCCAGGAGCAGACTGCGCTAAAGGGTCCTTTCTCTTTGCAGCTGGCCACAGCATGGACCTGCTCGAGCCGCTGGTGAAATTCCAGGTTGGCTTGAAGAAGCTGAATCTTCACGAGGAAGAGCACGTGCTCCTCATGGCCATCTGCATCCTGTCCCCAGGTAGGAGGAAACTCGTGCCCAGAGGTCACTAACCTGCCAGGTTTTCGCTCTGTTAAGGTGCTCACCCCCAAACGTAACCCTTCCGTGCCTCTCTGCCATGGCTGTATGGCGAGGAAGGGAGTCGCTTTGCGTCAGAGCTGACAGCGGTGATGTTTCCTAGATCGCCCTGGCGTGCAGGACAAATCGCTGGTGGAGTCGCTCCAGGATCGCCTCTCGGAGATCCTCCAGACCTACATCCGCTGCAGGCACCCGCCGCCAGGCAGCCGCCTGCTCTACGCAAAGATGATCCAGAAGCTGGCTGACCTGCGGAGCCTGAACGAAGAGCACTCCAAGCAGTACCGCTGCCTCTCCTTCCAGCCCGAGCACAGCATGCAGCTCACGCCGCTGGTGCTCGAGGTCTTCGGCAACGAGATATCCTGACTCCGCCCGTGAGGTTGAGCACCCACGAATAAAGGGATAAGTCAGCCCAGCTTCCCAGAGGCAGCGAGTGGAGGGATGTGACCCTGGGCAGGAGTTTGTACATAGACAATTTGATTTCACACTACTGGTAATTCTACTTGTTTTCTCCTCCACGGCAGCTGGGGTTTGCTGCTGCAGAGCAGTGACAGACCCACTTCTGTGTTTGGTCCCTCTTCCCCTTCCGTGAGTGACTTTTCTGCTTGTCTGCCGTCTGCAAGAGCTGACTTATCCCTTTATGGATATTTTGAGGCTGTCTTTGTGCTGGGCTGCCTCAAACCACTTCTTTCTGAACCAAAAGGTTGGGCTGCTTGGAAAGGGAAGTGCTGGGATGTTGCATGGGGAAGCAGACTGGCGGCGTTGGGGAGCGCTCAGCGCTGCCCTCCGTTCCCCCTCTAAAATCTGCAGCACAGACACCGAGTGTGTTCAGGGCTGCCCGAGAGACCCATGCGCATGGCCCCCCATTTCAGGAGAGATGCCGATTGATTTGCACCCCCCCCAAATCTCTGCAAGAAAATGCCCTGGCCCCCCTGGCCAAGGCAGAAGCTGTGCTGTGCTGTAGGCTCCGTGTCGCTGCGTGCAATGAAAACCACTCCTTTGAGCTGCTGTGAGGCTGGTGAGAGGCCAAAGCCATGTGTCAGGGCTCACCTCTGGCCTGAGAGGGGAGACGTGTCCTAAATCTTTAGAGGGGATAGCTGGACATGCTGTAATTTGCGTTCCCAACACTGCTGCCCAGCAATGAGGGAGCAGAGAGCGCAGGAGAACGGCCAGCCTCTGCACCACGGTGAGACCGCTTGCGTCGAGCTGTTCTCAGCAGGTTTGCCAAGCCTGTGCGAATCTCGCGTAACTCCTCCGCGCTCACCCCAGCTCATGCTGGGAACACGATTCAGAAATGACACCCGTTGACACCACAGGCCTTGAGCAGCCAGTGAAGGCGGCGTTGCGTTAATGGCGAAGGTCCAAGTTCGGATCCAGCCTGCTGAGGTTGCCTTTGTGACGCTGGAAAACCAGCCCTGAGGCTGCTCGGGGTTGTCCTGCACGCTGCTGTCCCTGCTCGGTGCCACCCTGCAGAGACCGGGCCAGTGGTGAAGGGGTGGCCCTTTGTCTGCACTAAACCAGAGCGTTGTGCTTTGCTCTTGCACACGTCTGGGGCAATCCCCATGCAAAGGAGGCCCTTCGTGCAGCAAAGCCAGCTCCCCTGCGGGCCAAAACCTCCTGGCGCTTCTCAGGGGAGAGCCTGTTCTTGCTCCCTGGCAGGGTTTAAGATTAGAGGACGTATCCCCCAAGCAAAAGCAAGCCAGACAGTGGGAGCGAAACCTCCAGGAGGGCAGATTTAGGGCCACGGAGCAATCCATGATGGCCCCAGCTGGGGCATATGGGCTGCATGTGGGTCTCTGGGAGTGGGAGGCAGCTGAAATCAGTGCATCTCTCAGCCCCAGCGGCAGGGGAGGGCACACAGCCAGCGGGGCCCGTTTGGGCACCGTCTTATAAATGCAGCCCTGGTGCCAGTAAAGCCCAGCGGAGCTGCAAAAAGGGAGCCGTTCTCCCCAAAACGGGGAAGAGACACTGCTTGCCTCTGTCCCAGCTGCCATCGCAGGGACTGCAAGAGCCAAGTGCCTTGAAAGGCTGCGCTGGGCGAGGACCTTCCGTGTCCGCCGGCTCCTCACCGAGCAGCGGCCCCCGCCGGGAAGCATGGAAAAGCCGTTGCGTCCTCAGTCCCCTACTCCAGACCTTCCCCAACCATGGGGCGCATCCCTCGCTGCCAGCCCCAGCTCGGGCCTTTAACCCAGGAGCTGCTGAGCAGGGACCTGGCAGCAACGGGAAACCACTGCTGCATCCCACGACAGGCAGCGCCGCTCCAAGCTTTTCCTGGGGCTAACCTGTCCTGAAACCGGCCGAGCGAGCGGCCCGGTGTAAGTGACTGATTTAATACAGCCACGAGCTGCCGGGGGGTGGATTTGAAGGATGGCGAATGTGAATCCAGCGTGGGACCGGGGTGGCGATGCACTTTATCCAGGGGGGATGCCAGGAGCCTCCCGGGGCTGTGGCTGCTCCTGGCGAATAAACCTGATGCTTGGGAAAGGCTCTTGGTGCCCGGCTGGTTTTTGGGGTCTGCCTGTCCGTGCGACTGTCTGTGCGCCTGTCCATGTATGAGCGAGTGAGGGTGGCCGTCCGGCTGTCCCCAGGCTGTTTGGCTGTGCAGGGCTGTCCGCGTGTTTGTCCCTGTGTCCGTCCCTGTGCCCGTGTGACCCTGTACCCATCTGTCTCTGTCCTGCATGTCCGTGTGTCCCTGTGCCCGTCTGTCCCTGTGCCCCGCGTGTCGTGTCCCTGTGTCCATCCCTGTGTCCCGTCTGTCCCTGTGCCCGTGTGACCCTGTACCCATCTGTCTCTGTCCTGCATGTCCCCGTGTCCCCGTGTCCCTGAGCCCGTGTGACCCTGTACCCATCTGTTCCTGTCCCTGTGTCCCGTGTGTCCGTCCCGCGTGTCCCTGTGTCCCGTCTGTCCCGTGTGTCCGTCCCGGTGTCCGCGCAGGGCTCCGGCACAGCCCGCTCGCTCGCTCCGTCCGCAGGTCCCGACCCAGCGCAGAGCGCAT